TGCCCCTGAGTTCAATTTAGAACCTTGCCCTCCAAAAAAAAAAAAAAAAAAAAAAAAAGGAATGAGATGTCCCAGCCCCACTGTGTGGGGAGGGGTCTTGGTGCTTAGGGATGGGTTCTTCTTTCCATTTCCTCACATTATGATGATAGAAACACAGACACATAGACACAATTAGATGCCAGCTACACAAAGAGAAGTGGGGACCTCTTGAGCAGTAGGGGCCAAGACTAAACTGAAGAAATCAGTCCCACAGAAGGCAGCTCACACTGTAAAAAAAAAGTATCATGAATGGATTCAGATCACTCATTGTAATGCAGACGCTCTGAACAACCCATTAAACACTCAAAACGTCAAAAATTCCCAGGAGAGTCCTTGTAACTCAGGAATCTCCCAATTCCCCAACCTCTGTCTCTTCAGGCCCTCCAGGGTCTCACCTTTTTGAGCAGTAAGAGGCATTTCAGAGATCTGGGCACTGTCACTACCTGAGCAGAACAAAAATAGAACCCGGTCAGAGCCCATAGGACATGGGATAATGGAGGAATTATGGGATGGATCAGCTCCCCCCTCATTTACCTCTACACTACCCCCAAGGTCTCAGGGATCACTGTTCTTCATACTTACAGGCAGCTGGAACATAGATTCTTTTTATTTCTCCTGGGGGAAGAAAACGTACTGTGAGGGAACAGGTTGAAGACTCATCTTAGAGGAATCCCCTAGTCCTAGACTCCAGAAAAGTGTCCATAACTGTGACTACAGATGTAGGGAAGGATCAGGAAAGGATGTGTGTAGGGATTGAACCAATTGCTCTCCTGCAGATCTGCCCTTGGCAAGGAAATTCCTCTCTTGCCTTTAAATGCTAGGAATCAGGTCCCCATCACCAGAAAAAACCAAGAGGGTAAATTTGTTCTTTATTTTTTATGTGCTTTACAAAGGGTAAACAGGGTCCAGGCTGGATGAGCATGTGTGTAGATATTACTTCCCATTAACAAGTCAGGGCACACTGCTCCCAGATACTTGAAACCACCAATGGGACAAAAATTCAAACTCTGCATTTTCCCTACCTATGATTTTCTTCTTCCACAGGAAAAAAGTGACCACAGCTCCAGTGACAGCAACTCCAAGGAGGACCAGGCCAGCAACAATTCCCATGCTAGGGATAGTGGGCTGAAGGGGTGGCTCTGGGAAGGGAAGGGAAGTTAGTTGAGGGGCCCTGATCCCCAGCTCTCAGCCCTGACCCTGCTGAGAGTCTCCAGAAAGCCTCCTGCTTTCCTGACAACAGGTTCTGTGCCCTCATCCCCTTCTTACCCCATCTCAGGGTGAGGGGCTCAGGCAGCCCCTCATGGTGCACATGGCATGTGTATCTCTGCTCCTCTCCAGCAGGCACCACCACAGCTGCCCATTTCTGGAAGTTTCCATCCCCTGTAGGCCTGGTCTCCACAAGTTCCATRTCCTGGGTCTGGTCCTCTCCATCTCGCTGCCAAGTTAGGGTGATCTCCTTCGGGTAGAAGCCCATTGCCCAGCACCTCAGAGTGATGTCTCCTTCAGAGCTAGTGTGGTGAGTCACATGTGTCTTTGGGGGGTCTGAGAAGAACAGGGAAATTCAGACATTTTTGCATTATCTCTCCTGGGCCACCAGCCAGAGAATGAAAGACACAATTGGGTGGGGGAGGGAGTACAAAACCTATACACAAGTCTGGATTCAGGCTTCTGGCATAATCTTCTATTCCTTGCAACTAGTTCTAGAAAGTTCTAGAATCAGGTTGAAACAACCTAGTGTAAGAGGCTACAGATCCCTGAGAAAGAATTCGTATTCTGATCTGGATGTTGCTCAGAGATGTGGAAAAGCTGGAGTCAGACCTTCAAGGACACTGGGCTGGAGTGGACCTGACAGTCTGTCCTTGATGGCAAGACTGCTACCAGAGAACTGTGGTCAGTTATTTGCTGTCTTTCTCACCAGCCAGGGAGAGACAGACTGGATTCCTTATTTGTCCTCAGAGAAAGCCGCCTTCAGTTCCTCTGTAGTGCAGCACCTGGGAATCCAAGCCCACTCAGTTCCCTCTGGAGGAGGAGCTGGGAAGTGTTCTAGCATGGGTGCCATTCTCCCCACCTTGTGGGAAGTGGGCCAACAGATCTGCAGGAGCTCACGCAGGTAACCCACTGCCCCTCATACCTAAGCGCTGCAGAGTGTCCTTCCCGTTCTCCAGATATCTGAGGAGCCACTCCACACAGGTGCCCTCCAGGTAGGCCCTGCGGCGCTCTGCAGCACCTGTGGCCTCCCACTTTTGCTGGGTGATCTGAGCCGCAGCATCTGCAGCGGTCCAGGAGCTCAGGTCGTCATTCAGGGTGATGTAATCCGCGCCGTCGTAGGCGTACTGAAGGAACCCTCGGAGGAGGCGCCCGTCTGTCCCCACCTCGCAGCCATAGATCCTCTGGAGTGTGTGAGAGCCTGTCCCCGCCGGGCGGTCAGCCGCGTCCCCGCCCCGCCCACCCCGTGGGATTTTCCCTCTAAACTGAAACCGAAATCAAGTCACAGTCCCCGAAGGAGCTTTCTCGGTCGAGGGTCTTCCGGTCCCTCAGACTTGGGGGCAACCTCGGACGAGGGAATCATTGACGACTGGGAACCAGCCTTGAGGGACAGGAGGGGTGTGATATCCGTTAAGGGCCCCGGGTCACTCACCGCTGTCGCTCTGGTTGTAGTAGCCGCGCAGGGTGTTCAAGCACATTCGGTGATTCTGTGCAGAGTTCTCGGAAATCCGTGTGTTTTGCTCCCAATACTCCGGACCCTCCAGCCCCATCCACGGCGCCCGCGGCTCCTGTCTGGGATTCTTCGCGTCGCTGTCAAAGCGCATGAACTGGGTGTCGTCCACGTAGCCCACGGAGATGAAGCGGGACTCCCCGCGGCCCGGCCGGGACTCGAGGGTTTCCATATACCTCAAGGAGTGGGAGCCTGGAGGCGAGAGCGGCTGAGACCCGGTCCACCTTCCTCCAGGCGCCAGACCCAGGTCCCAGGTTGACAACACCTGGAGGAGAGGAGGGAGCTCCAAAGACGCAAAGGGGGTGGTGTGATGCGGAAGGGCAGGACTTAGGGGCCAGAGTGGGGGGTCAGGACGTGCCTCACTAAGGCGGGGAAGGTCTGGGCTGGGAGCAGTGGGGACGCAGTTTCCCCAGCTCCTGCTCGCTCACCGGAGGGTCCTCTGCCCCCCCCCCCCCCGTGCAGAGGCCATTTCCTTCCCCCTCTCCCCCACACCCATCCCCCTCCCCCCACCCGCGCACTCACTCGCCCAGGTCTCGGTCAGTACCAAGGCCCCCAAGAGCAGAAGAAGCCGCTTTGGGAGCACTACCACCCCCATCCTGCAGTTTGGAAATTCTGCGTCCTGGCTGCTGGATGGGGGACTTTAAAACCGAATCGCCGTTATGAGGTTGCCTTCTCTAGGAGGAAGACACGCCAAGGGAGTGAGAACGGTGTCCAGGCAGAATCACCTGACTCAAGTTGGGAGAGCAAGAAGTCAAACTCCAAGGAGACGGGGAATCAATCCCCAGGACTCTGCGCCCACACCCCAGACACCGCTCTAGATCCT